TGAAAATGGCATATAGGAATGGGAGCTCACGGTTTGAATGTGTAAAGTGTGTGTGAATGCATGTGAAGATGCAATAAATAATGCATGTAGGGTTAGGAAATAATGAAGAAATGCATGTGAGATGTTTGGAAAGGAAATGGGAACCCACGACAATGAAGTTGTTTTGTGTTGTGAATGATGATGAATGCATGTGAGTTAAAGAGGGAGAATGTGGTGAAATGATGAAGTAGGAAGGTGGAAATGCATGTGAGATGTTTGGAAAGGAATAAAGAATGAATGGTGGAAATGTGAGTGAATGATGTGCATGTGTGAGAATGCATGTGGAATTAAGAGGAGTATGGAAGTGAAATAAATGAATGATATGTTAAGTGATAAGTGAATGATATGTGGTGAGTGATAAGTGAATGGTTTGATAAGTGATAAATGAACTAGTTTAAAGGGCTAGGGTTTAAGTACATAGAATGGGCCTAAAATAGGTTGGTTTGTATGGCATAATGTGTTTGATTGGGTTAGAGGTTTTCCATGGCTCAAAGGATTTGTTTGATTGGGCTAGGCCCTTTGTTTGATGTCCCCAAAGAGCATACAAGGCTTCAATTTCGTCCATCCTCTTTGCACCATGATTAAGGTATCCAATCCATGCCCAAAAGTGCCCCAAATAGCCTCAAAATGCACTTTCTTGCTCCCTAAGCCCTTAGAACCTGAAAACACACAAAAGAAGCATAAAGGACTAAAATAACTAGAGAAACATAACGTAAATGCACGAGAACAAGCCATTTAAGTCGCATGAATATGCTCCTATCATGTTACAAGCTATGGATCAGAATATAATGTTGGAAGCATAGTGATTGGTATGATGAAGTGAAATGTGATTTAACTTGGGTATTGGAAATGGTTATGACACATGATTGTAATGCATATTGAATTTCTTGCGAGATGTGAGGTCTAGTAATGGACCGATAAGCCATTGTGATATGGATTTGTTGCTCGAGATTGTTTCGTTGATTTTTTGGGAGTAACTTGAATCGTGAAAGAAAGGATTGATTTCTTTCATTCCTAATTAAATAAATGGTTAAAATAATTTTAACATAACTATTACAAAACCGATAACCACTACATAAACTCGAAATTCCAAAAATAAAAAGGACTCAGAAAACAAATAAGCCAACCAAGGGGGCGTTTGTTTGCCCTCACTAAGTTGGACTGGACTGGACTGGACTAGCTATTAGTCCAATACTGTGTTTGTTCCATGCTGGGACTAACATTAATGAGACTAAAGGGGACTAGCATGGACAAAACCCTTCACTAAGAGGTCTTAGCGAGACCCCCCAATAACCATGGGACTAGCTAAGACTATCTTCTCTTTCTCGTCCTCGTCATGCTCAACGACCACTCTCGACAGACTCCTCGTCATCTCCGGTCACCTAGATCAATCATTAACTTTCCGACTCTCTTTCAGATCCATTTCACAACCAACTTTCATACAAAATATACCAAATTGAAGCTGGGAGTGACAAGATTACGATTTTACTTGAATCGAGGCCAAAATGTGGTCGAATGTGGCTGGAAAATGGCCTGGAAGTCTCGGCCTGTTTGGGCTTCTTCAAATCCATGACAGATTCGAGCATTCAAAGCTAAGATCTCGGTCCAGGGATGGTGATGAATTTTTTGGCGGTGCTAACTTCATCCAATTTAACGAGGAAATGGTAGGAAAAAATGAAGAAAAAGATAAGATCATAATAAAATATTAATAATTTATATATTAAATAATATAATATTATAATTTGTTATTATCCAGCTTCTTAGTCCAATACTGCACCAAACGCTTCACTAAGTTAGTCCAGTTTAGTCTAGTCTAAGCCAGTCTAGCTTAGTCCTTGAAGCTAATCCAGTCCGAGATAGTCCAGCGCAACAAACGCCCCCTTTAAAGAACTAAATTTGACAAAAAAAAAAAATACATTTCATATTAGGATAGTAAAACAAATGATCAGAAATTAACATATGACAAAAAATAACTATTATGAAACACTTAACACATTATGAAAGCAGTAAAACAATAGTTGGAAAAAGCTAACTAAAGAGGAAACCAAATAATCAATTACCAAAAGTACAACAAAATCTGAAGCACTTGTCCCAAAAGGGAAAAGCAGGGTTAAGCAGATATAATCAATTACTTTCCCACACTGCAAATGCATAAACCAAAAAGAAAAACACTTACTAAGTTAGTTTTAATAAGTTAAGAAATAAATAAATAAACAATTATATTTGTCAGGTGGCATGGGTGTAAACTGTTTTTTTTTTTTTCCTTCCATAAATATAACTTTACATTAATGTGAAGCGGAAATAAACACAAATTTGAAACAATCAGGTATCCATGGTACTTGGCTAAATTTCAAAGCATTGACAACAAATTTAATATTCTATTGTGACAGCCCGTCCCAGAAATATTAAAACGTACGCGTGAAAAGACGGTTTTGCCCCTAGTGTGTTTCCTTTACGTTTATTGGTTGTTCTTGAGTTTGGTTGGCATGTTGTAGGCCACACACATTTTCCCACACACCATAACCTTTCCTCTTGTTTCCTGCACATTGTCCCGTGTCCCCTTTCCCTTCCCATTTCCTTTGAAACGTACGGACCACACCCAAATCCCATTAAACATTCACAGATCGTGGAATCCAAGCACATATTCAAGCTCGTGAGGCTTGTAGGAGTCTAACCATACCCATTTCAGGTAAGAACACCTTCGTTTTCACGTCGAATCCACGATGCCCGATTTTGGGTACTGTTCATGCACACGTGATTTCTCATGTTTTAGGGAATTTCAAGCTTGTAGGAAGCTTGGTGAGGTCCCTAGGAGGCTCGGGGTGGTTCGTTTGAAGGTTTTGGACGTCGGGATCATGAGTTTTGAGGTTGGCCGGAATTGGGGTGATTTTGCAGGTGAGATTTCGTGGTTTTTAGCACTTGAAAGTGGTATGATTGTGTTCCTCTAGTTCTAAGCTTCATTTTGGTACCAATTTTGTGAAATTTGGTTGAAAAACGAAGAAGATATTGAAGTTTGAAATTTTCCCGATTTTCCAGCGCCGGCGACGGCGCCGGAGGCTCGCCGGAGAAGACGACGGAATATTCCATCAAGTCTGACGGAATATTCCTGACGCCGTTAACGGAATCTGTTAAAACTGACGGAATATTCCTAACGGCGTCAACTGACGTCGTCAGCGTGCCAGGCACGTGCCTGCGCGTGGCCGACGCGTGTGGCCGTGCCTTGGCCGGCGCGTGGAGGCGCGTGCGACGGTGAAAAATTATTTTTAAAATATGGGGTTGTTCTTGAGGTTGAGTAGGTCACGTTGGTATATTCATATGCCCCATTTGAGCATTGTATGAGAAGTTATTTCTAAAGGTTTGGTTATGTGCTTTAAAATTGACGTTTTTGTAGTTGTTTCGTATATAGGTGATACCTATCCCGAGGACGAGCGTGGTCACTTGAGGCAGGGGGGCTACGACCCTTCCACATACCAGTGAGTGGGCTTTTGGTTTTCCGTATATACCTATATACATATATTTTCCCAGAAATTGATTGAAATATTTATTAGTTTTTATGCCATGCATTTTATATTGTCGTTGATTATGATTGGTTAGTCGCATTTATATGTGTATGTATTGGTGCTGTGGACGCATAGGTAAGTACCAGGTAAGTGTTATTCATGTTTACATTCAGTAGTGATTTGAGATGCTTAGAGAGCTCATAACCTGCACCCCTGGTGTTAGTGCTCCCGCCCAGAGTAAGGCACAGTCCTTCACGTGATGTTCACCTCCCGCACCACACGCTCAGCTTGGATCCAAGTTAGGTGCACAGTCTTGTCGTACAGACCACTTTAGGTGGTTCTGACTCGTAGGTGACCCGCGATTATTCGCCCAACCTTCACGTGATCGTAGCACTAGAGCGTATATATGTATTACACCCAGGCCTGTCGTACAGACCACTTTAGGTAGTTTCGACTCGTGTGCAGGTCCAGCTAGTGAGATTGAGATTTGAGCTCTAGATGCAGCCGTACAGGTCACGTTAGGTGACTCTGGCTGCCAGATTACATGTTATCGATATGATTTACACCTGAGCACTTGCATTTCATTTTGAGGTTTTAGCATGGCATATTCTTGAGCATGATTGGTATATATACGTATATCTATTTTCTGGGAAGTATATAGGTTTTACGGCGAGGGGTTAGAACGTATTTTTTAAATGGTTTTCGAAAAGCTTTGTTTTTGCCCACTCACGCTTTTGTTTTACGCCCCTCCAGGTTCTAGTTGAGTAGCAGGTTCAGTGGTTTCCCAGAGGGCTTCCAGGCATTTCTGACAGACATTCACCAGCGTAGGGCCACCTTCAGGTGTACTGTTGTCGCATCATTTTCATTTGGACTGCTTTAGGCTTATGCTCTGAACTTGTGTCTCACTTACGCTAGCACTTGTTTCGATTACATTTTGTATGCTAGTTTCTATTATTCGTACCATTTACATTACTATTTTATTAGCTTCCGCACTGTGCACATGGCTACTTCACTTTCACGTGACGGCCAGCACGCCCTGGTCTCGATCGGGGTGTGTCATCTATAGCCCCAAATGATCACCAAACATTTAACCAACTAATTAATAAAGCATTTGAGGATCACATGATTGAAAACCTAAATCTCAAGCTTTATATATCGATGTGCACGGAAGAGAACTAACTTGGCAACAAACAATATTAATGCAAATCTATAGATAAAGAAAGAAATCCAAAATGTTTGAACACAATTGTAGATCAAAGCACATTGCATTGTGATCTTGAATTGAACCCCCACTAACAATCTAATATTGTGAACTTATTTAAGTTCAAAAATAATATAAGATGTTAAACCTGAATTAACATTATTATCAAATGGGGAACGTTTGATAAAGCAGCAAAGCAATGATTCAAAGGGGAAGACTCAAAAAGAAACCACATATTACAAAGAACAAACATCACTTACCAAAAGCGGAACAAAACGTCAAACACGTGTGCAGGCAGTAAACTGTAGAGTCAAGGAGATAATAAGAATTTTCCCACACTGCAAACAGACAAATTAAAAACATAAACACTTAGCAAATCATGTTTAATGAGCTGAAAAGGAGAAAAAAGACTAATTTTCTTAGATTTAGAAACTACATTTTTAATCCAGAAACCAAACCCATCCATTAGGAATGGACAGCTAGCCTGGGCTAATTAAAAAGCTCAACAAAAAACAGAACCAAAGAGTTACCCATCAATGTATAAGTAAAGGATTGACATAAAAAATAAAACAGTGAATCATAAAAAGCAAGACCGCAAGTCACAATTCTAGAAGAGGAAAACAGAATGCTCACAACTCAAGCAACGGTATCAATATTGTTCTACTAAATTATACGTTATATGATGAGCATTATTTTGATTGAGATATCTCACATGTCAAAAAGTGAAGAAATTCCAACGAAGGTGACAACCACATTATATAAAGAAGAAACCTAGACCTAGTTGAACATGTATAATTTGTGAAAAATCACAGGTTGTATAAGGAAGATTTTGAAATATGCATCTGAAAATAGATACCATCTAATTATGCTACTTCACAAACAATGCTACCGATGAACTTATCTTTCTCCCTTATGCTGGATTCGAATGATATAAACTAAGAAAACCCCATATTAAAAATCAATAGCCAAATACTAAACATACCATCTAATTCACCAATTGCATCCTCTGCATCTCTACCGTGATCCAAGTGAACAAAAGCATAACCCAGTGGTCTCCGAGCAACCCACACGCTGCGAAATTAACAATACAAAAAGATTAACAACCATCCTCCATAAAAATAACACCACTTTATGAATATGTGGGTAAATGACTACAGACATTACAAAAGGTGTTGTTCCCTTTGCCGATAAACTGCGGGATTCATCAACATCCATCAAACTCCCACTTCAATTTTACAAAAGCAACACAGAAAAAATAAAAAAACAGAAAACAAAGTTTGACAAAGGGGCACAGGGACAGCAAAGTTGCAACGGATCGAGGAAAAATGTTGAATCAAACCATTGGATAACATCTTCTCACGCACCCAAAAAAAACCCACAAACTCAAAACCACAAAAATCCAGTCTAAAACATCGAATCATATACTCAGATGCACAAAAGATAAACTAACAAATTCAAAATGAAACAAAAATAATTAACAATAAGCAAGCACACTATCCTTCGAATTAAAAGCACATAATTTCAAAAGTCGTCACCTTAAACACAGATGTCTTCGCAGGGTGTAAATAAAAACCTTACATTGATTTCGTATTTTCCGAGCAACCACAGGCAGCAGAATCGCACAAAACACCGACTGAAAGCAACAACATGAAAATTTGAGGAAACAAAACGGGTGAAAGCGATAGTGAAGCAAAGTTGAAAATGAGAGGAAACAAAACGGAACAAAACAAAACCCAAACAAAGTACCATGCGATGACCAACACGTGGGCCTGACAAAACTATGTTGCAGCTGTAGCAAAAACAAACACAACCACAAAAAAAAAAAAAAAAAAAAAAAAAAGTGAAATGCAGTCCATTTCTGTCAAAGACAACCAACAAAGAGCACTGGTGTAATTTTACTGTACAAAAAGCTAACAACAACATCAAAGTAACACGCGATGACCAACACGTGGGCTTGACAAAACTGTGCTGCAACTATAGCAAAAACAAACACAACCCATTAAAAACAAAACGAAACAAAGTCGAAGCCAAGCATAATCAGCAGATAGGACCAAATGAGGGCAAAGTTGTAAATTCACTGTTCTAAACACGGAAAAAAGCCTTAGACTCAGCAGCAGCGAAAGGCAATTACGTCAAAGCACTGTTATAGAACAGTACCACCCGGTTTGGGTTTTAGTATATATAAATTTCCTGGACATGACACACTACTAAAATTAGGGTAAGACTTGTTATGATGTTAATTTCTCTACATACATGCGTAAGTAGGGACATAATTGTCTATTGATCTCCTCCATTCCTTATTGTCTTGTCAAGTGGGAGTGTGTGTCCAACTGCACCAGTTTTGGCTTTTGACTCCGAAAGCATTGAGAGTTCAAGGAACCTTTTAGTCCAGTCCCAAGCTTATTTGTAGTCGTATGCATTTCATTTGAAAGAATGGTCAAAATATAATCCGTTTGGTGGCAGTTATGACAAGTGTTTTCATTTCTATGTGTATTTTGGACGTATTTTATGACAGACATCGTATTGCATGTTTAAAAGACTTTACTTTCACGATGAGGCCCTTTATTTTCGACTGATATTTGCAAAGCATATAATTTGCATCTGCGTCATTTGAAAGAGTAGCATTGAGATGGAACGATTAGAGGATACTTTCTGGAGTAGATACCAACTGAAGTTTTTACACATGGATTATGTGATATATCTCATTAGTATTGTTTGGCAGTTGTAAGCTCAGCGAATGCAGAATTATTCTACGTGAATCAGGAGCAAAGCACAGGTTGCAGAAGTTGCAGCCCAATTTCCCAAGGTCAGTACTTGTCTATCCAGTCATTGCATTGCGACAACCGATTAGACTCTGGTTGTCCGTGATCTTTGTAGTTATATTATCATCCCTCTCCTAAAATAGCAGCAGCTTTCGGATGAATTGTGTGTATTAGCTGGCTCCTTAACCCAAAGTTGCAAGTTGAATTTTCATGTAAATGCATTACTTAACATCCAATAACCGTTTCAACGAGCATTCTGTTGTGTGAGCTGCTGATATGATTTTGAAATGGCTGCGTTTCAGCGACGATGTGGCGTTTGCACTCAAGGACAACCGTTCGTTAAGTTTCGCCTTTCCATTGAATTAACAGGACAGGACAGGACCGGAGAAGCAACAATACTCCAGCTTATCGCATGCTTGTATTAGGCTTGAGACGGAATCTGATGGTCATAATTTTACAGCCTGGAAGTAGAAATGCTCTATTTCCTTTCACCTTAAGACCCGTGGGTTCAGAGATTAGGCAGCAGTTGTTGAGACTCGAGAGCGCTTGAAAGCTTGACGAGCAAGCGAAAAGCTCCCTTGCTCATATAGACAAGAAACAAGCAGAGGCTCTTGTTACTATTCCAACTTCCAAGATGCATCAGCACTTGTTAAAGTGAAGGAAAGCAGTTATTTGGATCGGGTTATAGCAACCCTTGGAAGCCATAAATTACATTGATGTTTAAATGTTAGATACTTTAGCAGGCGGGATCAGGAGGAGACAAGATTTGTTATTTACATTGATTTCAAATTACAATTCAAAGGCCTAACAAGTTCTAAGCCATCAAAATTTGGTTACATACATGAAATTACAGTCCTTCTCCGTAAGACAGGCTCATTGCATCGAAAATTCTTCCTACTCCCCAAGTCTCAAGCACGAATTGGAGAAAGTTTTAAATGAACCACATTGCAAGTTTACCTTCAGCATCTGATATTAACTAGTTTCACCCGTGCACAAAGCTTTCCGAAAACAAATGCCTTGCCGGTTATGTGATGATACTGTATATATTCCATATGCCTTATGTAGCCAACTCCAATTTTCTCTCACGTGGCACAAGATTTGCTTGTGCTCTCGTTGCAGCTCTGCCTGCAAACGTGTGAAATTTATGTAGGCATGCATGCATGAAAAATGTATGTGTGAGCATTATAACAGGCTAGAGTAAACTGACCTTCCTCTTTTTCTGTTTTCCTCCTGTTAGACCATAGAAGCCGAATTGGAGTGCCCAAAAACCCAGCATCTGAACGCAGTTGCTTCTCCATATAACGCCGGTATGTCTCAGGGAAAAGTTTTGCATCATTGACAAAGAAGACAAATGTTGGTGGCCTTATAGCTGCCTGTAAATTATCCAAAGTAAATACCAATGATTTGCCATGTTCATAAGAAAATACTGGATGCGCAGTTTACATGCAAGTTCAAAAGAACAGATACTACCCTACAGATAGGCATGCATGGAAAATAGTCCGTCGAGTGGGTATGTAGCACTGAATCATCTAAAATCTTATAGTAGTTACGGCTGTATGCTTTCAGGCATTAACAGATAATAATTTATGTTTATTACAAGAATTTCTCGTAATTTTGTGGACGCTAGCATCCAAATTTCGCATAGACAAGGATGTCACTTGCAAAGATTTATAATCAAAAGGAATTAAAGAGACATAATCACCAAAAAGGGAGAAAAATGAGTCTTGCATAAAACAAGTACCTGAGTGCAGTAATAAATGCGGCCCCTTTTGCCACCTCGTGTCCTCGGTGGTGATTTAAAAGCTAGTGCTTCCTGGACCACTTGGTTTACTACAGAAGTACTAAGCCTTCTTGATCTTTCTTTCTCAACTGTGCTAGCAGCATCGATAATCCTAAAACCAAACAAGACAGTATTTCCCTTAATGTACAAGAGGTTTTAGACCATGACTTGTCATTTCAAATTGCTTGCACATCAAAGTAATGCATTTTGTCATATATATAATCATATCGATATAATTGGAATCCTCTGGCACATTTTTTAAGTTGTAATGGACCTTCGGCTTCCTAAAAAGCAAAGTAGTTGTCAAGGGTGCATTATGAAGTTCCTAGAACACTTCGAACTATTCTGATAGTGAATGTAGAAAATTATGCATAGGATTATTGGGAAACTCCATCCATAACCTGCATAGTTTTCATCGGTACCTATATAAAAAGTCAAACGCATATAACTCATAAACTAAAACCCATATTACAAAATGGTTTAAGCCTAAAATACGCTGAAACCTTATAAGAACCATCTGCATTTTGCATCATGCAACTTCTTTCTATAGGGGCAAGAATAGCTTATATACACAACTGTACAGCATACATCATCAAGGCTGACCTATCTTAACAAGAATCTAAAGCTCGAGACACATTTATTAGAAGATGCAGCACATCAAGCTACTTAAAAATAGACCCACGTCTCAATCAATATAACGACAAACAATTAAAACTTCTTCCAGTTAGAGGTGTGCATTTTATAAATAAATAAATAAATATATATATATATATATATATATGCATGTATATATTATGGTGTCAATGGAGAATATGGGTTTCTTGACATACATGAAGTTAGCTAAAGAATGCAACTATGATGCAAGTTAAGTTATAAAAGAGATGATGTTAAACACAGAACATACTTATCGACACTCTGACCAGCTATTGCAGTTGAATATACAATAGGTGCCCAACCAAGAATACGAAGCTTCTCCCTAACATCCTCCTCATAATATGTTGCAGTTTGCTGGTTTTTATTCGGTATGGTATCCCATTTGTTTACAACAATCAGGCAACCTTTGCCTTCTCTTTCTATCCTTTCAGCAATCTTGCAATCCTAGAAGACAATATAGAAGGAAACATAGTTAAGAGAAATCTACTTGTGAAAAGTAAATGTGATCAATGTATGGGAAACATAAATGTCTTACATATAAAGACATAAAACTGTCGGCATGTTCTTCGAATCTTTAAATGATAACTCAAAAAGAATGGACAAAGTACCTGTTCTGTGATACAAGCCAGGGCCTCAATGACAAGTGCCACAACATCGGAACGACGAATGGCACGAAATGCTCGATTTACTGATAAAGCCTCCGTCATGCTACCTGATGAAGCGACAACTGCTCTTCTTCTGATTCCAGCAGTATCAATTAGCCGGAACTTCTGCAAGATAAAACAAACCAAAAACAAATGTTGCAATTATATGTATCCAAGTAATTTTGAATATCAACAAGTTATCTTCACATCAAGAGGGAATCAAAAAGAAAGAAAAATGGAATAATATAAAAGATAACTGATCAGACAGTTTTCCACTAATATTTCAAGCAAGTGAACCAGAAATAGCTTTAGAATCCTACTTAGGACTGCATATAAGTTGACCCGAACCAAGCTATTGCTTGTTTGAGCTCGGCTTGGTAGTAGATAACAGTGCTCTACCTATACTCGAGCTTGCCTAAACAGGGTCAAAATTGGCCTTGAGGCAACTCCTATGATCAAGATGCAGAAGCAAAAGAAAGAAGGAGAAGATGGATAGAAAGAAAAATAAGAAGAAAAGAAAAAAAGGAGGCGAATAGGATTTGGACATATCTAAGTGTATCGGCAAAGAGTTCAATTCTAGACCACCTTTGAATTCAGTAAAAGATGAATAAGGGAAGGTAAGAATAGCTTGAAGTAAATGAACAGCTGAGGCTAGAAATCATAGTTCAGTCTCAACAGACAAGCGTGCAGTCAAAGTTTTTCAGACATTCCTACGCAGAATTCCACGAATGAGTGGATAAATAATGTTATTAAAAACACCTAATCTAAAGTGTTATTTACATTCAAACTTAGAAATCCACAAACGAGGCTAGACATCATTGATTTCAGTTTTGGACTAATCATGTTACACTTAATAGATTTGTGTAATAACTGTCAACAATAGGCGGTATAGTAGGATGTATAACCGTGAACCAATCAAACCTGTCCATCTGGTCCAGTAAACTCCATATCAATAGCATCACGGGTCGTTCCACTGACTGGGCTAACAATTGTCCTGTCCTCTCCAACCAATGCATTCAAAATGCTACTCTTACCAACATTTGGTCGGCCCACAATTGCAATTGCAGGAACATAGTCTTCCTGTTCAGCAAATTCCTCCGGGTCCTATATAAAAGCATAATAAACCAAATCATAAAGAAATGAAAATATTCATAAAACATGGCAAGAACATGACTTTTTGGGCTTAGTAAATGACAAAAAGCACCAAAAAAATTCTACTATTGAAACTGAAAAGTTCACTAACAAGCTCAAAATAAGCAGCTTTGAAAATTGAGTAATATAAGGTAAAGTTAAGCTAAAGCCAATTGCCATTGCCAATTGAAATTCAATATTCAACAAAAGACAGTCAAACTTGAATACTGATATACCAACAATAAAATTTCTGTGATTACAAACCTCATTCTTTTTCAGCCCTGAACACAAAAGATCAAGAAGCTCTCCGGTTCCAGTTCCAGATATAGCAGATAAAGGAAGTGGTGAAAACCTGGTCAACCAAACAAAAATCGTACCTTTCAGAAATTAATATTAGTATACCATTCTGTATCCACCAGAAACTTGAAATGCATCTGAGTTTTCTTTATCAGAACAATAAAATTTACCTAGCACTAGTTCTTGTTTTTTCTTATCAAGACAGTTCAATATTCGCAAGCCTAATTAGAAAAATAAACATACTAGCACAGCTTGAAATTTGTGACATATGTTGAAATTTCATTTTGATTATCAGATTATTTACCCTATTGCTTGAGTCTTTAGTGTCTTGTCCAAGTTGGTAATAAAGCAGAGCTAAATTGAAATATTTACCAGACTATAATGGTGAAAAGTGTATCAACATAACAAAAAGAGTGTATTTACCCCTAGGATAATGCTATCATGCATCACCTTAGCACAACCCTACACCTATAATCCTCACAACAGGTGTAACAAGACTATAAGAGAGAAATAGAGATATTTACTATCCAATACTAGGAATATTATGTATCTGAAAAAACCAAGGTACCCTGAATGTATAAATTCATTAGGCTAACAGATATAAATTACTATTTATCAGTTTTTACAAGAAAATAAAAACATTTACCAGAACCCTTTTCTCAAAATTTAGTAAGGTAACATACGTGAACAAAATGGACAAGAGTTTAGCTCACCCCAATGACCAAAATTCTGATGCTTGCATGATCCCTTTACGTGGAGATTCACACTTGTTAACTGCAAGAATGATGTACTTATCTGAGAAGTTTTTACGTAGCCAATCTGAAATTTCCTCATCTGCTGCAGTTAGACCTGCCTGTTTAGCACTGTCAATACTATATACTAATATCATTACTATGTAAAGTTATAAACCCAGGCTCTATTCAAGTTCACAGTCTTCGCCAAACTATGTTTTAGTTTAAAAACCTTCAAAAGTTCAATTCAAATACATAATTGTACAAACTCAATCATTTGTAAAAAATCGGTTATCAATTGAAAACAGAGTTTTTATAACTTTTGGAATCATATTACTCAACCTCATGGACTTTTTTTGACAAGTTCAAGT